AGAAATGCTCACACTTAACTCAGCCTTGTTTCCGTTCCTGCAGCATTAGCATTCTGGTACCTCCCCTTGTATATTATTTGCTGTTTTTTCCTTGTGCTGTACCTTGAAACGAAATAAGCTGACCCTGATACAACCAAATAAAGCAGGCATCCGTCTCAAAATTGAAGCCACGAATCCGGTTCGAATAAAGGTTTTCATCCATACGGGCGAAACAATGCACATGTATGAAATTTAAGTTTAAACCTCACTCCGTTTGAAACTTCTTTTGAAGACACATTACCTAGTTTAATAAGCACTACGCGAACACTTTCAAATGAATTGTATTCAAATGAACTTATTTCACAAACGAATCAGTTGTGGAATATAGGGCATTTTAGTGGCCGATCTTCCTGTTTGATCGTCCAGCGCTTATAAACTGGATTATCCCTATTTCCTGGAAGAATATGTAATAATACGTGCTAGCTAATATTTGCGCTCGCCTATTTGTTCATCAGGCGGCTAGTACGTTACACTGAAGACGTGCTAATTCAAAAGGTGTTTGTTTCTGCTGATGGCTGAGCGAACGACATGTGGCCTCAATGAATTCATAATGTGCACAGAAGTATTTCTGCTTGATTCAAGCTGCGCGGTATCTGACGTTGTAAGGTAGGCAATTAAACGGCAAGGTGCGTGGGCTTCATAGGAAGGAACAGCGCACGACTCACCGTTTCCTGTGTCTGCGAGTCCGTTCTAACGTCATCGTCGGCGTGACAGAGGCTGAAGTCCTCTGTGGCTGAGTTACCTGATTGATTGGTGATGGCCGTCTGGTTGACCATGGCGATGATCGCCACGCTCAGGTTCGCCTTCATGGCGAACAGCAGAATGTTGCCAAGGAAGAGCAGCGTCGTCAGCACGTACCGCCAAACGATCTGTGCAAGTGTCGCACTGAGAAACGAGGAAGAGGAGCCGAGTGACAGCGCGGCCGTGCCTCTACCTACCTTCATTCCTGGGCTGCTGGTTGTGTATCAAGTCAGTCAGACCTGAAGCGGCTCGGGGTTGGCGCCAACCATCTATTGTTGTGCACGGCAGAAAAGACACCATCGACTGCATGCTACAGTCATATTTCAAGTGTCGTCTTTATTGCGACCGAAAGAGCAGATTCAAACAACAAGTCGGTCATTCTTTGCCAAGCCACGTTCATCACACGTTACCGGCCGATGAAAAAGCGATTACTACGCGATTACGCGCACCGATTAAGAGTCTAACATTGCCAAGATGCGGCCAATTTGAATTTTGGCTCGAGGTTATTGTCACCGACAGGCATATTGATCGAAATGACGGTCAATGGCACTCGTCTGTGTGGCTTCTATGTTCAAACAGCTTGTGAATAACTCGAGACGTCAGTCAAAACCGTAGTCTTGCCATGCGCCGTTTTCCCTCACGTTTCGGTGAGTCTGAGGGCGGATGAGCTTGTCCAAAGCATTTGTTGATGGTGGGCAGTGGCGATGGCAGTCACCTTGGTACACAACCCGTCGTGTTAGACCTGAGTCGAAAAACAAACGCACCGCAACACCGCCTGTTAACACTGTCGCCCCTCGTCGTGTGTTACAGGCAGTTCAATGGAGCCAGCCCAATCTTCTAGCGCAGGGGTGGGGTCTCTAAGCTATGAACCCTGGGCCACAGCAAGCCTCTACAAAATGTTATTCGGCCCCCTGCAACTTGAAGCATACATCCCACCCAGCACATACTCCAGTCGTTTATATAAGAATTATATAAAGCCTTGGGTTCTGGCAAGTCATGTCCTCTGCAGCACGAATCTGCTATTCTTGGAGCGTTGCGCCAGTTTCCGGATATTTTAACCTTGTTTGTGTCGAGTCGGTCGTTCACCCCACTCCGTGCTGTTCTTCTGGACGTGGCAAATTTGAGGCGGAGCTTCGCAACCATCATGAAGTGGTCCGAGCCAAAGCCGGCTCTGCATCGTG